CGAACCAAACATATTGAAATTGACAAGCATTTCATCAAGGAAAGCATAGAAGGAGGGATAGTTGAACCTATCTATATCTCATCATCATTACAGAATGCAGACATACTCACCAAGCCAGTTCCTAGAGTTGTATTTGAAGGTTTGTGTAGCAAGCTGAGTATGATAAACATATACAATCTAGCTTGAGGGGGAGTGTTGGAGATATTGATATTGTGACTATTTTCTAGGGATCCTAATATTGTAAGTATGGTGTATATTTAGGTTGTTGGAGATATTGATATTGTGACTATTTTCTAGGGATCCTAATATTGTAAGTATGGTGTATATTTAGGTTTCCTATTTTTAGATGATTTGGTATTAATTTCCTTCTTTAAGAAGGAAACAAATTCCTTAGATTAAGCAGAATGATACTGCCTAACGTGTATATATATATGGACTGTTTTGTACAGAATAAGGAAGTGAATAAAATCCTAAAATTCACAGTAGATATAGGGATAGCTATTTGTGATATTGTTGATATAGATCCTTGTCAGTTAATGTTGGGGAGGCTGTAACAGTTTGATGTGGATGCATGCCATAAGGGAAGGAAGAATGTAATAGAGTTTACTAAAGACAATGTGAAATTTATCCTTTGTCTCCTGACGGGAAGTAGTGTTCCTAAAATTAAAGAAAAATCTATACTATCATTATGTGCCTCATTATGTGCCGTGAGGGAATTTCAAAAGGAGTCTTTGCATGAACCGTTTGTGTTTGTAGAAATTTCATAAGGGATTCACCGGTTCTACAAGTGACATTCTAGGACGGCTAAATTCCCTTTTGGAGAAATTTTGTGACATCATGCCCGAAGAGCTTCCCGCTAGATTACCTCAGCTTCGAAATATCCAACATCATATTAACCTCGAACAGGGGACCACACTTCCGAGTAATTGGACAATAAAGAATTTAAGGTCAAAAATAATTTATTTAGTTCTACATTCCTCTTCCATCAAATTAATGACCAAGAAGGTCTCTTCTTAGATGTACCCTCTTCCGAGTAAATCTGAGATATGAAACGGTCATTAACCTAATTAAAAAGAAGAACGCTGCATAGGAATGCATAAGAATTAAGTAAAATAAATGATATCATTATATTTCTAGTCCACTATGTATTTGTAACCTACCTGAGTGGAGGAAATCATATGAACTTCATGTCCACCATCAACTGGCCAAATCAATGTGCTATTTGGCTCCAAATAGAAATGTTCTTGACCCCCTACTTGAACCTCCCCTTCAATTATTCTATCGCATTCTCCTGACTGAAAACACACTTCCACATCTCCTTTGACAAGATATTTCTCCGTATTGGGAAAAAAACTTCCAGACTGTATGGCATCTTTTATAGACAAGATTGCAGGCAACTCTTCATATTCAACTCGTACCTTACCTGAAGCAATTTTTGCATTGTCATGAGAATCAGCCACAACAATCCCAATTACCTGCATAAAATTTATGTGATTTCTTTTAATTAGATAAAGGAAAATCCAATATTACCCTCTCCAGTCTCCTAGATAAGAAAACACGTAGGTAAACTAAATCTGTTTCGGTAATACTGTTTGCTTACTTGACCAACACAAGTTACAAATTCTGAAGCAAAAACCTCCTCGTCATATATAATGGCTCCAATTTTATTCGTGCCAGGAATATCTCGAGAGAGAAATAGGCCAACAAAACCGGGTGTTGATTTGGCAAGCGTATCATCTATGGACAAAATGCGTGCATGAGCCTTTGTACTTAACACCAAGGCAGCATGCAATGTATTTGAAGGTGCAAGTACATCATCTGTGTATTCAGCCTTCCCTGTCACCTGGATGCAGTTCCGCATAAGTACCAGAAGGAGAAATTATTGCTTAACTAAGACATTGTTTAGCTGGACGGTAGAATATGATGTGCCAATAACCAATCAGATTTTACAAGATAATGAGAAAGATACCAGAAAAAGCGATGAAAAGCAAGATCTTGGTTACTGAGATAACATCAAAAGCTTGTTACTGCTTTTCATCCTTAGCAGTACCCATTGTCTTTTGAATATTCAATTCCACAAGTAGCGTGAGAAACAAAAGAATATAAGTGCTTGAAATTGATGCAGTGCTAGAAGTAGGTCCTAACATTCAAAAAGAGATATGGATTGACTTGAAAAGGTACTAATAAAGGTATTATAAAGTATTTTCCAAAATGAATGCATTTCACATACAAATATATTAATATATAATAAAAATAATACAAAAAGAAAGCATAAATTCCACAAAAAGACGTGAAGTTGTAATTTGTTCTCATTATAAAGGCTTGGAGGGAGTGAGTTTCCATAGATCTGTGAGAATATAAAATATACCATTAGCGTTGGAAGGAGTTTACAAGGCATGAAAGTTAAGCCTACAGGTATAATCTTCATTAAGGAAAGAACTTGTCTTCTACTTAGTTGTAGATTACTTTTTTGGCCAAGTGCAAAATAATATGACATACATAGGAAGCCAGTAGTCTTTTCCCGCTGCTGTTTGATTTTTCTTCATCATGGGACTACTATTATCCTAGAATATTTTAGTGGCCAAGCATGACATATAATAATATTACATGCATTGGCCACCAATAATCTTTAAGCTGTTTCCTTTTTCCTCTTCATGGGACTACCATCTCCTATTCATTAGAAACAAATCCCTTACCTTATATTTAGCTTTAAACATTCCAAATCATAGGTTGAAACAACTTGCTACATTTTATTCATTTATTTTGTCCTTAATTAATATGCAGGAACAAGAACTAAATATCACTTGAACTCCAATTATTAATCACTATAAATAATACAACGTTATTGTACATGAAAACATCAAAGCCAGGAATGATAGAATTCAAGAGAAACAGAGAAAAAGTATTAGTGGACAGTCTACCTGTAGTTTTGATGAAAGATGAACCTCAGATAATCCGACAGCTGTCCCATGTCTTTCCAATTCAAACACCTGAGTCCCACTAGATGCTGGCCTGGAATATGGTTGTATTGCTGATTGATGAACTGTATCCAGGCCTTCTTGAAGAAACCCCTTCTCATTCATCAGATGTGTAACCCATGAGAAAAATTTGAAATAGAAACTTAACGTTAAGGATTTCCGAAATTCAATCATGCCACCTGGTGCATCTTCAGAAAGAGGAACATCTTCTCTCAAGGTATTTAAAGTATCCTGCAATAGTGTTCTATCCCATATCTTACCAATAAGAGCATTTTCAGTTCTTGATGCAATAAGGGAAACTGGGGCGACACCACCGTAAACGATAGATACATCAGAAACTTTCCAGTTTTTACCATCTTCTTCAAGAAATACACGCATCCCTGCATTAACAAGTGCAATATCATCTTCTCTTCTGTGAGCCTGTTTAAATTCTTTTACAAACTCAAAAGGTCTGGTCCATGGTAAGAAAACTGAAAGTAATACTTCATTGTTAGCAAGATCAATCTTGCGGTAACCAAGAAAGAAATCCCTAGCGAGGGTAGTCCTTATGTTTCCTTTGCTATCAATAATTTGAAATCTGGCTCCAGCTGACATCCAAAGTGGATTCAAGTCAGATATTGGACTAGCAGTGCAGATATTTCCACCAACAGAAGCAACATTTCTTATCTGTGTCCCAGCAAACCATTTTAGCTGCTCCAAGATGGCTTTGCATGATGAGATCTTGTGAGGGGCTTGCTCTTCTATCGCCTTTCTCAGTATTTGTTGGAGTTCTGTGAGTCTTACAGAAGCACCAATTTCTAAACCATTTTCAGTGACATTGATAATATTAAGCTCAGGTACATGGGTGACAGATATTAAGACTGGATACTGGGCGCTCTTAAACTTCATCTCAATTCCTACCTCACTATTGCCCATCACAAGTTTTGCCTCTGGATATCGTAATTTTAGGTCTAACACATGCTGAAGCTTTAGGGGTCTATACCACCGAATTCCCCCAAACCCATGCAAGTTCAGAGGCAATTTATTCCTCAAACGAAGCTCTGGTGGGAAAATTAGTTCCTTCTCAGTGTACGAGCTTCCATCAATTTCATTGTATGAAAATGGTTTCTGCTTGTTTCCAGAAATTACAGGTTCACTCAAATCTTCACAGCTTTTAGCTGCGTTTTCACCACAGGAACATGGTTGTCCAGTTGATGGACAAATGAATCCATCTTTTGGCACTCCTTCTGGAGATGATCTAGTGTACAAAGAATCATCAGTTTTGGAAAAAACTCGGAAAGCATCAACAATTGGTCTATAACCTGTACAACGACATAAGTTTCCAGCAAGGCTCTCTTCAATCTTCTCTTCAGTTGGTGGCGTTTTGCTTGATCTCAATAATGCATACATGGACATGATGAATCCAGGAGTACAAAAACCACACTGTGAGCCATGAGCTTGTGCTAACGATTCCTACACAGTCAGTACATGACACAAATATTAATAACCACTGTGTGCAATAAAATTTAGATTGGAAGTTATGTACCAAGTTTGTGGGAAATTAAAATGTCAAATTAAGCTATCTGTTTGAACAAGTCCTAAGAAACTAGGGCATAAATAGTTCATCTACGTGCAACTACAACTCCGTTTAACCTAATGGCCATTTTCATTTCGTCGCATGAAAACCAAACATTTGCAAAAATCAAGATTAGGAGAAATACATACATATCCTGCCCACAACCAAGATACAGAAGCGAGAAATCTGTATGAGATTGCTCACTAACATATACACACAAAACCACTTAGATCCTGCCTTTCCACATTTTTTTTCCAATTGCTTTAATGTTAGAAACTAAAGATGTGGAGGAGCTTGATTGCTTTTCAATGTGAACTAAGATCCTCCTTTCTAATTGTTCTTACTTCTTATTTTAGATTACAGAGAAAGGGGAGCTTAGCTTGTCCAATAAAATCTTTATTGGTTGTTCACAAATCCATTTTACAAAATCAAATCACTGCCAGAATAAAGTATGAAACATAAGAGGTTATAGTATCTCAAGTTAAAATCATATTTGTCAGGGTAAGAAAGTGTGACCTGGATAGGATGAAGACTATTTTTGGAATTTCCAAGACCCTCCACTGTAATTACATGCATTCCTTCCACTGAATACAATGGAGCAAGGCATGCATTAACCGCATAGTGCCTGCGCGTTTTCATTGCAGCACATTAACCCTTAAAATGATATGATGAAGGGATAAATAATCAGTAAAAGTATGCACAACCACAAACTCGTAAATGAGGCAGCATATTTGGTAAGATGTAATTTAAAGAAGCCTACAGTAATTGGCTACATGGGTTCAGATTTGCAACATATTAACTCCTAAGTTTCCATTATGAAGGAATATATTATGTACATGTTAATAAAGTATTTAGAAACTCATAAAAAGGCAGCATATCTGCCAAGATATAATTTAAAAAAGTCTACATATCGAGAGAAATTTAATCTTTATTGACTTTATGTAATGTGTGGAGGCCCAGAAAATTTGTGGGTTTCAAAAGCATAGAAGTAAATATTGGAAAATTTACAATGAGAAAAACAAAAAAATCAATCCTGCAACACTATTCAAGGTGCAAATTGAGAAATTCTGGTTCTAAGTTTCTCATAGATCTATGGTTCGAACCAATGTCTAATTGGGCATATTTTCCTATTTAGTTCTTACTAAAAAAATAGAAATTGTAGCAATTGTAAATTTTTAACAAGAGCAGAGTTTTTGAAAAAGAAAGAAATATTCTTAAAGAGATGTATTGAAAATCAGAATTATGAGGGAGCCGTAGATAGAATAAAAGGACTGCATGTTGAGGCATTGATGGAATAAGGACAGGATATCACACAGCAACGTAGCATTAAATGAGTATTAAGCCTAATAGCAAAAGGATTAGAACCAACATGAGATCTTTTCACTTGATAAAAAATTAATATATAGAACTTATCAAGAACATTAATATAGAACTTATCAAGAACGGAAGTTGGGAAATAAGTCGTAATTAGAAACACAGTGCTAACGCACTACTGGAGATTGTAATGTGAGACCATAATAACACTGCTGCTTGATCTTTCAACACATGAAAGATCACAGATTCACAAAATTAAGATGGTTTTTTATTTAAAAAAATGTTCCATTTCAATTGACCATGAGAACACAACTGATAGTGGATAGAAATTGGCTCTGAGTGGAATCTGGACAGAGTAGAGAGAAATTTAATTGACGCAGAGTACCAAATTCTTCCATAATAGAGCAGACATAAAATTAGATCACAAATGTAATAGTCTGTATTCCGTAAGTAGCTAAAGTAATCTGCATCATCTATGAGCTTAGGCAAGAAACTCACCTTGATTTCTTTGTATGTTGATCGTAGTTAGAGACCATAACCGTGCAAGCCCCACAGCCTCCCTCACCACATCCAAGCTTTGTCCCCGTCAGACCCAAATCTACATTCCCATAAAGAAGACAGAATCAGAATTTCGCACAGCAATAATTATTTTTAAAGCATTATTTGCAATGTGAACAAAAAGGGCGTATTATCTTTTTCCAGTAACAGGAACATTACAAAAATAAGGTGAAAGATATAATGGAAAAATGCCGGTGCAATCACAATAAAATGCACAATCCAATTTGACCTGAAAGGGGAAACCCAAAACGAGATCATAACGGAAGCAGAATGCATCGATACATCAAACACTTATTTGTGATATTGATGCCCTTTCAAACACAATAAAGAAAACAGCACAAGAGAACTATCTAAAAGCAAGATATATCAATTATACACAAAAAATAAAAAATAAAAAGGCAATTCAATGCCGGGGCACTTCGATTCTAAATATCACTAACAAATCTCATAAACCAAGGCAATATAAGCCAAATTTACGTCAACACAAATGGTCATCATCTTAATTTATCTCTACAAGCTCCTAAAATAGTAAACAGATACCAATTCCATTCCCAGGGGTAAAACCCTCAACCTAATTCAGTTCTAGACATCTCAAATATCCCAAAAAAAAAGCCAAAATTAAAATTTAAATCCACAGGGCAACTACAACAACTGCTCAAAGCTCAGATAACTAGAATATACCTCGCAAATACTGCAAGAGAGTGAGATGGGCAAGCCCATCAGGGAGAACATGGAGAACTCCATTAACGTACAAGATCGCATCTTTTGACCATCCATCTCCAACGCTAAATTCCTCGTCTTTGTTAAGAGAACCCATCTTCTTCTTCCTTAGATTTGAACTGATCCCAGTGACTTATACCGGATCAGAGATAAGGCGGTAAAGGAACAGAAAAATAAATAAAGGAGAAGAAACAAAATTGGAAGTTTTAGATCGCTAACACTTGGAGATTTGGTTTCTTGTTTGACCTGTTAACAAAAGAGCAAACTTTTTTTTAAAAGTTTCTCACATTTTGGAAGAGATGAGAATCGCAAATGGCGACGTGGAATTGTCAGATTCTTCTTCTTTTTTTTTTCTTTTTTTCTTTTTTGGGGTATATCCATGGGATGGGACCGCGTGTTATATATTTGGCTACTTGATGAGATGAATGGTTTTCTAATTATGCAGTTTACTTTTTACTTTTTGGGATGTTTGGTTTATTTCCTTAAAAAAGTACAAAATTTCAAAATAGACTCTACTAGAATTTTATTTTTAAAAATCAACCCCTTTAAAATTTAATTATTATTTTCGATTTGGTTTCAGCCACCTAGAAAATAAAAAATAAAGTTCGAAAACTTCATGGGATTTGAAATCCCATGAAGTTTAGCGTGGTTAATCAGGCACTAAACTTTACGGGATTTTAAATCTGGTTAAGTTTTTGAACTTCTGCAGCTTCATTAGCGTGGTTAATCAGGCACTAAACTTCACGTGATTCTAAATCCCGTGAAGTTTTTAAACTTTATTCGACATTAAATCTAGCTAAAACTAGGTCGAAAATGGCAATTAAATCTCAAATAGGTTGTTTTTTAAAAATAAATTACTAAAAGGGTCTATTTTAAAAATTTGGCCCCTAAAAAACAAGGGTAAATTTTGATTTTTTCCCCCCTCTTTTGGGTGGGAGGGTGGGTGGGGTTGGGGGGACTGAACTTGTTAGGTTTCTCCATATTTCGGCTTAAATATCTCTGAAATGAGTTTACTCTTTTAGGAATGCTTTTCTCCACTTTGGAGAGAAGATTTTCTCTCTTTTGTTGCTAACCAAACAATGCAAACAAAAATAATAATTAAAAATAGGTTTACCTAAAAGAGTGAAACCATTTGGGTTCAATAATTCTTTTTGTGTTTTTATAGTTTTGCATATGTGAAGTTTGGGGTTGTTTGGTTCACCTTGAAACCAAACAAAATCCTTTCATGGATTCGAACACACTTCTTCCGGTAATTTTTTTTACAAAACTCTTTTCTGTATTATTGTTTGGTTACACTCTAATTATAGTAAAAGGGTTCAAAATATGCCAGCAATAATCATATGTTGTAGAAAACTTATTTATTAGTTATTAGTAAGAAAATAGGCTAAAACTTGTTTTTTTTCTTAATATATACTAAAACAATTATATTAGTAATCATATTTAATAATAATATTATCATTTTGAGAGAAAATATAAGAGTTTCAAGCTTGAAAACTCCAGCCAAATACTATATATGAAATGCTTATTTAAAAAAGTAAACAAATGAGTTTCTAGTGAATTGATGGTTTTTAGCTATTTCATTATTATCAACAATAAGTAAAGAAAAAATATTGTTATCTCTTACAAAGAAGCCCGCATCTTAGTTGTTATCAATAAATAAATGAGTGTGAAAACAAGATGTCTTGATCCTTACTATGGATAGTGACAACGATTCATGAGTTATTAATTCGAGAGCCTTATTCCACGCCATTGCTAATATGAAGCTTTTTCAGAACTATGTAGCAGAGGACTTTGGGAAAGTACACTTGGGGGATAACAAGCCTTGTAGTTATGGGAAGAGGCGATGTGCAGATTCAAATGAAGGGTTCTAAGTGGTCTATGAAGAACGTTAGTCATGTGCTGAAGCTGAAGATAAATCTTATTTCAGTTGGCCAGCCTGGAGCGGAATGCTATGTTACGACATTTATCGGAGATTCGTGGAAGATCTCCAACGGTACTATGGTAGTTACTCACGGTAATAAAACCGAAACTCTCTATTTAACTTCACATACGAGTGACACCCTCGTAATTGCAGCTGGCAAGGAAAGTGCAAATCTGTGACATAATAGGTTGGGACATATGAGTCAGAAAGGTATGAAGATTCTACACTCACAGTGAAAGCTACCCGATATCGATTCAGTGGAAGTTGGTGTTTGTGAAGATTGCATCCTTGGAAAGCAGAAGAGGGTCAGCTTTCAGAAGAGTGGAAGACCACCAAAAGCTCATAAGCTAGTGCTTGTTCATACAAATGTATGGGGTCCATCTAGCGTGTCTTATCTTAGCGGTTCGGCGTACTGCGTTATCTTTATTGACGACCGCTTGATGCAGCATAAACATGTACCAAAAAGGTTGCAAGTGCACAACCGTGTCAAGTTATAGTATTTAAGATATCGATCCCACGAGGAAGGTGTTTTGTAGGAGAAAATATAAAATCGATTCTTATGTTGTGTGTGTGACAAATAAGATTGGTGAGTGAATATGATTGTGAAGAGATTGAAAGAGTGAAAGTGGTGTGTAAGTAGGTGCAAAGTGTAAGTGAGAGTGGATGTAAAAGAGAATGAGTATGATCAATAAGGTGAGAAGGAAAAATGAATAAAATCAAGAAACAAATAAAAAAATCAAGAATGAAGAACAAAATTCTAGAATAAAAGAAAATGCAAGAAATTAAAGATAGTGGGTTCAATTATAGATATGGGTAATCTAAAATTGAACCCACTTCTTAGAAAAGGATGATTCCCTAGAGGGTTCTACCCTAAAGGCGAATCAAACAAAATAAAAATAAACCAAAAGAAAAACTAAACCCAAGAGGGTTCTAGCCTCAAGGTGAATAGTGCAAGAAATTAAAATCTAACTACAAAATAAATTGTAAAATCTAAACTATAAAATAAATTGCAAAAAGAAAATAAATCTACTCTATAAGCATGAAAATAAATCTAATCTATGAGCATGAAATAAATCTAAGGCAAGAGGGTTCTAGCCTCTTGGCTATTTAACAAGAAAATAAAATCTAACTGCAAGCATAGAAATAAATCTAAACTAATAAGCAATAAAAGAGAAAAAGAAAAAAAAATACAAACATTCAAATAATTCTCCATCTTCATCTTCATCTTCATCATCCAACAAAGAGAAGAAGAGAAAAATTTAAAGTGGTGCAAAAATTATTATTATTAATTGCAATAAAAGGTTACAATTTTGGAAGGCCTTCTCAATTAAGAGTAGCCCTCCTCTCTAAAAGGAGTTACAAAAATTTTCACACCTCTAACCCCTCACTCTCTACCCCTATTTATAGTAAACATCAGTGAATAATAGCCATTAGATCAAACTTGAGCCTCAAGACAAGCAAAATCAGCCATTGACGCGCGCTACAGTAATCTGGCATCGATGCAGGCATTGATGCAGGTATCGATGCCAGCATCGATGCCGACATCGATGCCGACATCGATACCCACTATTTCCAAATTCTGATTTCACGGATAGCTTCGTCTTGTCGAGATAGGCGATTTTCATATATTATATGTTAAATTCCGCCTTCCGGATTAGGAGATATCGTCGTTTCTTTATGGCCAACCATTTTGAATATGATTTCTTTTCATATTGGATTTTTGATTTTCTCCGGCTTCTACAGGCTACACGACTTGATTCTGGGCTTTTGGATAATTTGAAAATTGATTTTCCAATATGCTTCTTTTCTTCATTTCTTCATTTAATTAATGGGTTTTTGTTGAGAGATGAGAGTTTGAGATTTATTCTTCATTAACCTGCAATTAAAAGATAAAAACAATTATTAGTGGTATATTTATTCATATAAAATAGATAATAAGGGTATAAAATTATAATAAAATATGATTATCAAATACCCCCACACCTAAACTTTTGCTAGTCCTCTAGCAAAGAAAGAAAAATGAAAGAAAACCTAACTCACTTTCGCAGGAATCACGGTTGTATTTAGCGCATACAACAAGCCTTTAAACCCCTAGGTTACCCTAGTGGACGAGTTGTAGTCTCGTGAGGGTTTGCAGTGAATATACCCACAAAATTCGATCATCTTGCCAAATTAACGAAGTTAGTAAATAACTAAATTTACTTGATAATTGAATCTAGTTATTACTCAAGAAAACATTTTTATATATAACTCTAAGGTATATTTCCAAGAAAATCTTCTCATTATAGCAATACAAAACCAAGCCAAACTTAGAAATTTAATTTAAAAGTTTTGAAAAGAACATGCTAACTCTTTGTTTAAAATAATATTCAAGTTGCTTGATCTAAAATATTTTCCAAGACCATATATACAAATATAACTATATATAAAACATTTATTAGTATTTTTATTTTTATTTTTATTTTTTATATTATTATTATTTTTAACTCTTTCTTCCTTGGTGATTTTTTTCTACTTTAACGGGCTTTCTAAGCGACCATTTAACGAGTTTTGGGCTAATGGATCCCAACCCAATTGGGCTTAGGTCATTAAGTATAAAAATACTCATTGGGCTTAATTACTCGATAAGCTTAGGCTTTATAAGATAGAATCACCTTGAATTTAAGAGTTTTTTTTTCTTTTGGTACCCATTTTTCGCACTCTTCTTTTTTAAATTTTTTTTGTATATGTATATATATTTTGAAAATATGTAAATCAAGATACTTTGAAAAAATTATTTTCAACTCTAAGTTAAGCATGCAAAAATTTTATTATTTTAAATAAAAGTCCAAGTTAAGGCTTAAGTAAAATATACTACTTTAAAAATCATTTCTTAAGAAATTTATTTAGAGTTATCATAAAAGATGAACTTAAGTAAATAACCAACTAGGGATTAGAAAATTTCAAATTTATCAAATAAATCAATTATTACATAACTCTATCAATTTGGCAAGTGACGATATTTTTGTATTTTTTTTTTAAGAAAAGGGAAAAATGTAACTAAAAATATAAAATAAAGAGAAAAAATAACTAATTCTCACCCCCACACCTAAATTTTGCATTGTCCTCAATGCAAATTCTATGATGCACAAAGTAAAGCAGATAAGAAGTGAAGTACTTATATTTGGTCGGCTGATAAAAATTTACAATTACCTTTGGTCTGAGGAGGATGAAAAAAAAAATTATTCTTCTTTTTCTTTTTTTTTCTTTTGTTTTTTTTTCTTTTCTCTTTTTTTCCTTTTTTTCTTTTTTTCTTTTTTTTCTTTTTTTTACAACTCAACAAGAAACTCTCAAATGAGAGAAGAATAAATTCTTTTTATTATTCTGAAATAAACAAAATAATCAATGTAGAATGAAATATTTAACATGAAGAGTTCATG